ACGTAATATTCATACTATGTAAATAGATTTGGTTCGGTGCTTGTCTCAAGGGCGATTAGGGCTGCTCATTGTTTAACTTCTATCCAGGTTAGTTGTTGCTGTTGATATGTGAAAACTTTTATTTTCTTCAATTTACTAGATTGTTTCAGTTTTTTGTCTTGTATCTCTGCCCAATGGATGGCTCATTGAATGTGGTCAATTTACTAGATAGTTTCTGTTTTGTTTTGGTGTCTTATCTGTACCTATATGGATGGATCATTTGTGACTATCTGTCAAAAAAAAAATCATTAACTCTCTCTCTTCTTTTTCTAGAATCTGAAATATCAAGATCTTGAAAATTTTAATAATCTGGTTGACATCATTTATAGTGAAACATGCATATTTGGTGTTGCTTTTTTTTTTTTTAGAGGAGGGAGTTAAGGCTGTTGCTTATTGTAGTTTCTTTCTGCTGATACCACAGCGGTTTATGATATCATTGCATTAAACTGAAGGTCAGTGGCTAGGCCAACCCCCTGCATGCTCCACGCACCCCAACCCAAGGGGATTGGGGGTGGTTTGGTGAGAGAAAAGATCTGATGGCCTTATTCAATCCCTGCAAAATTCTTAGATCATTTGCAAAGACATGCATTACTGTCATATGGAACTTAATATTTCAAACGATATATTTTTGGATAGGTGAACTATGGTAATTGTTGGGTGTTTTGAAATGCTTGAACTCTATTGATGTTGCACGGGTACCTTGGATGTTGGCTCCTGAATTGTGTGTGTTTCGTGCTTTTCTTTATTTCCTCCTGATCCCATCCTCCCCCCTAATTGCAATAAGAAGTCTTGAGATCCATAAATTTAATCTTGGAGCCTGTAAACTGTGTTTAAATCAAGACTTTGATGGTATTTTGAATGTTGCTACACTTTACATTCCTTCCTACTCATTCAAATTTTCACCTTTCTTGGGTGCTTAAAAGTTGTTATTGCGGGTTAAACTTATTTCCTTTGTTCATGCAGTTCTCACCTACCTCTGAACACATATTGCTTGCTTACGGTCGACGTCATGGTTCTCTTCTCAAAAGCATTGTCATAAATGGAGAAACATCAGTGCCTATTTATACAGTTTTGGAGGTAATGTCCAGTATGTCACTTGGGTGACAACAAAATGCTACTATAACTTTATGGATATGTGATCTGAAAATTGCTGAACAATCTTGCTCATTTATCACATAAGAGCCGGACAACAAATTGCAATTAATAGTTTTACAGTAATATTTTGAAAATTAGAATTTAGAGTCATATTTTTTAAAAAGGAGCTATTGGTTATAGTTTATGTGATGCATTTTTCTGCTTTTGGTGTGAGTTGTTAAAAGGGAATGGGAAAAATTATTGTAGATATGACGAATAATTTGCAATATCTGTGGATTTAGGATGAAATGTCATCATAGCAACTGCCTGGGTAGTCCTACAGCTATATTAATCATAGGTGGCCGTGACATTTGGTGCTTGTAAAAGAGATGATGTGTAACACAGTATACGAGATATCTTCTGGATGAAAAGAATTGATGTAAATAAGTCTCATAACGTAGTGAAAAGAATTGACTTCTACCTCCTTAGATGATGCTGCTGATGAGATTTCTATGGAGTTGCAGAGACCTCTATGTGTATGCTGTGTTGTGAGATTTAACATATCTGGTTGATTTGTTGGTCGAATGCTTTGCTGCCACTTGTCCCAAATTTACTATTTAAACTCCTGGGTTCAGGTTTACAGAGGTTCAGATATGGAACTTGTGAGGGCGCTTACTAGTGCAGAAGATGAAGTGAATGTAGCGTGCTTCCATCCTTTGGCTGGAGGAGGACTTGTCTATGGCACCAAGGTTTGTAATGGATAATGTCAGGAAAATTTTATTTATTGGGATTAGCTCTCGAGTTTGCAAGATACATTTTCCTTTTTCATGCAGGAGGGAAAGCTCAGGGTCCTGAAATATAATGGTGCTCATGGCGTCAGCTATTCCGGACCAAATTTTTTTCCAGAAGAAGACATGGTTGAGGTAGAACTGTTTTCTAAGTTGTGGTAGATTTGGACTTCTAAGCTCTGTTGACGCAAACACCTCATTGAAACAACATTTGCTTATATTATCTTAAACCTCTAACTCCTTTAACTGAATCTTATTGTTTTCTTAGCCCCTCTAACTGATCACGTGTAACATTTAATACACCCTGTTCTTAGATGAACTTGGATGTAACACTTAGATGTCTTACAACTTCAGATGAAATGCAGGCATATCCGTGCTGTATATGCTTGAATCCTTCAAGCCCTATGCCCGTCCCATTCCAATTCCTGTTTTTATTGCATTGCCTCTACGTCTTTTCTACCCCGATTAAGAAAGTTCCAAGGCCTGGGAAAATAGACATTAGACCATTAATGAATATAATGAAGAGACAAAAGCTGATTGTCTAGTAATCATTATGAGGTTGTAAAATGATGCTCTGAGCTTGAGGTCCACTAGAAACTCGCGTTTAGCAAGTACATTGTGAGGGAATGTCAGTATTCTACAATTATCTTATACAATTACCGAGCTAAGCGGTTGACTAAGAGATGCAGGTATGCTTAAAGTTAAATTGGGGTAGGCCTTAGTTTCCAGATGATTTGACTATCATATGGACAGAATACATGCAGTCAATGCTGGGAATTCTTTATATAACATTGTGGATTCCTCTTTGAACAAGTAGCTGATATTTCTCCAATCGAAGTTGTTTTTATTTTTCTAAGCTGTTTTTTCTTGGAGCTGGAGGTTTTTTGTTGTTAGCCCCCACCCAAAATTTATAAAATGTCGAAGAATTGTCCATATGTTGATAAAATGTTTTTTTTTTCATTTGTTTGTAAATGTCTAGAATGAAAAAACGAACAATCTTTGAAATGAATTGAGCCAGCATCTAACTGGATAGGCAGTGCACAGCCAAGTCTTAACTGAATGATTTAAGTTAATTTTTTTGTTTGCAAGGACTGATTCTTTTTTCTTTTCCCCCCCCCCTTTTTTTTGGATTTCATTATATGTTTTAGGATATGTTGTTATAGAATCTGTTGGGGTTCTTGTACCATCCTTGCAGATTCCCTTTCTTTTCCCGGCAGATGCTAAATCATAAATTCAAGGCACTTCCAATGGAAGGGAAAGTCTTTGTATTGTAGAAATTTTATTGTAAGATTAAGATATGTACGATTGGAGTTTTCGTGTGTTAAACATAGCAGCTCTGAGGTCCTTGCAATTTAGAAAGTGTTTTCTTGGGTTTATTTTATTTATTTATTTTATTTTTTGGGGTTTTTTTTTTTTTTTTTGGGGGGGGGGGGGGGGCGTTTCACTCATCTAGTTCTCAGCAACAGCAAGGATCAGTAGTAGTAAGTAATACTTGGTTTGCAACAGCAGCAACAAGGATCAGTAGTAGTAAGGATACCTAGTTTACATCAGCAACAGCAAGGATCAGCAGTAGTAACTGGCAAGCAATTTCTCCTTGGCAGATCTGGCGAGCAAATTTGGCTTCCTAGATTTTGATGAGATGGATAGCTAGGGCGTTGGAGCTGAATTTGTGAGGATTACTTGCCAAAACAACTAAAAGGAAGGAGTAGCGATACTCGTTGGAGATGCTCTTAGTCTGCATTTCTTTTTTAACTACGAAATAAATTATATGGCTATTGCATTAATAGTAGTTTGGCATTGATTTTTGTACAGATCCAAAGTTATTTTTGTAACTTTGTTTTTGTTGAAATACAAATTGGTTAGATTCCATCCCTAGCCTCCACCATCAAAGCCCTAGATCCTTGATTTCATTGATGCACTTGACTGTCTTACTAGCCGATCTTATTGTTTCTGTAATGTTTTTGTTTTGAAATTTTCTATTTGGACTCTATAGATGAAAAGTTAAGGCCCAAAAATCTTACCACATAATTATAATTTTTAATTTGATGTGTATAATTGCTAAAAAAAAATTGAAATGTATTAAAAATTGGTTAATGTTTTCTATGTTTGCTCCCTAGGCAGAAAAAACTAGAAGAAACAATTGAATGCCCACTAAAGTATCCCAGTTTTGAGGTATGAATTGCCAAATTTCAATTAATTATGTTGATTAAGTTTGATTTAATACTATCTTATCCAGATCTGAAAGTTTTTCTTTCTTCACTTTTGGATTATTAATTTTCATTAGTTATACTTATTTTCATTGATTGGGCTATTAATGGGGATTCTCAATGACAATTCTTCTTATGTAGTCATTTTTTCTTCAATAAGTATGTATTTTGTGAAGCATAGATATGCAAAATATAATTNGAGAGAGAGAGAGAGAGAGAGAGAGAGAGAGAGTTACATTTGTGATACATGAGAACTTAAGAAAAAAATTGCAATAACAGGAAATTGGGAAGAGGGCTTTCTTTAAGTTATTACATTGATATCCATACACCACTACATGTTTCTGTCAAAAATGAGCTAGTAACAATAGAAGGGGAAGATTGGAACTATAGTTGGTCGAACTGGAAAGGGAAGACATGGTAGCGTGGGTTTAACTTACATAATGACCCAAAATAGTTGGGATGCAGCCTCTTATTTTAAAACGTATTCAAGCAAAGGAGGAAACTGCTCTTTTTAGAAACCTGATTACGAGCAAACCTCCCTTCTCTCATTAGAATCTTGAATGGGAGCGAACCTCATTGTAATAATGATCTGCAAAGAGTATTTTCATTCTACTCCCTCTTGCTACATAGGACTTGCTTAATGATTCTGTTGATAATATGTATAATGTTACCTCTGACGTTATCGAGATTTCTAAGTTCACCCATCTCGAATTATGATTTGAGTCTATGCCTTTTTTGTTATAGTGCTGCCAATGAGTTTACTCCGTAGCATTATGCATTTGTAATGTTAAATGTTGGTTAGCATGTCCTTTTCACAAACCCAAGATGTGTCTTCAGGACCTGATGGGAGGACTGTTCTGGAGTTGAGCAGCGATTCGGAGGTGGGTCCTTGAATCACTTTCGTCCTTGTATTTGTGATCATGTGTCAACATGGACCATATGAAAATCTCATATATTTCAAGGCAAGTTTGTGTTTTCCATCTTTACCCTTCTATTGGTGTAATTAACTGAAAAAATATGCAATACACCTCGCGGACATTCTCAGCAGTTGCGGCTCTCATCCAACCTGTTAACGGATGATTTAATCAATGTAGTCCAAGAAAATGAGTGACATGCCCGCTGATCTTTCTTCATGTTGTCTCAATTCCTTTCAAAGTTCAAGCCAAATTGCTCACAATAGTTATTCTTGAGATACGCCAGCTGCTAATGGAATACGTTTCGATCTTTTGAGCTGAATCCTCTGAAAGCAATTCGGTGTAGAATTGAGCAAACTAGCAACAGTTTTATCAGTATAATTCTTTCTTCGTGCTTTGTTCATATTCTCAACCGTGAGTTACGGTGACCAAGGTGGCAGGTATAAGAGGGAAAGAGAACGGAAATGAAAGAAAAAAGTTTCCTTTCTACTTTTACTTAGATGCAGTTTGATGCATTGTTTATCAGTTTGTATTGGAATCACTTTGTGCTATTTTGTGCAAAACATTGAGATCGTTTAGATTTGGTTGTTATAGTAAGTTGTAAAGTTAACTTCATTTATAGGGGGGGTGTAGTAGTATTATCAAAACCAAATATCTGAATGTCTGCAATCACTCTATTCTCTNTATTTTGTGCAAAACATTGAGATCGTTTAGATTTGGTTGTTATAGTAAGTTGTAAAGTTAACTTCATTTATAGGGGGGTGTAGTAGTATTATCAAAACCAAATATCTGAATGTCTGCAATCACTCTATTCTCTAAGATGGATTTGGTCGTTCAAATGCCAGGCACAAGGGAAAACATGAAATTACCCTATTTTATTCTTGAGAGAGAGAGAGAGAGAGAGAGAGAGCAGTGTTAGTATCCCAAATCAAAAAAATGGGACAGAGTATGACTAGTTAGCTAAAAAATGGAATANCAAGGGAAAACATGAAATTACCCTATTTTATTCTTGAGAGAGAGAGAGAGAGAGAGCAGTGTTAGTATCCCAAATCAAAAAAATGGGACAGAGTATGACTAGTTAGCAAAAAAATGGAACANGAGAGAGAGAGAGAGAGAGAGAGAGAGCAGTGTTAGTATCCCAAATCAAAAAAATGGGACAGAGTATGACTAGTTAGCTAAAAAATGGAATAAGGCTTGGTTTTGGTTTTGCTTGAGTGAGTCGAGCAAAAGGAGATTTGAAGTCGTAAGCCTGAAAGCATGGGTGAGTCCGGACAAAATATTAGGTGCAACGGGTAACATTAAGTCATTATTGTCACGTAGTTCTATAATTTATTAAAAATATAGCAAATAAGCAATTAAATTTCACATATTAGAGTAATTATTTTGCTATGTCATTTAATAATCATTAAAGTGGAGTTTATTTTATTTATGTGTAATTTTATTATTAAATGATGTTACAACGTATTAATAATGATGTGATATTACCGTTACACCCAATAATTACTCGTTAGTGGGGGTGGAGGGTGGGGGGTGGTGTTTTTCCATAAGATGATGCTTTCAAACACACCATAAACGTGAGAATCCAGCAGAGCAAACATAAAAAAGATAATGAACGACCCACCACCCCAATTTTATCAGTCTTTTTTACCCAAAAGAAAACTATGACTAAGAGAGGACAGGGTATATTCCATAGTTTAGTCATTAAATACCGAGACCAATCCAACCCCCAACCCCAACCCAATCCAATCTAGACCTTTCAATTTAGGATAAGATTGTAGTTTTAATAGTTACATTTTGGTGCTGTATAGATATTTGTTATCAAATAATAAAAATTATGATTTAGTTTAAAGAAATTGTTATAAACAAAAATATTAAAAATCGATCTTGAACTCAACATGTTTAAGTGATAACTTGACTCGATTCTATTAAGTGGTAACTCATCTTGTTTAGTCTTAATTTATTTTAAAACAAGACATAATTAACCCTTACTTTGAAATTTCAATAAAGTACCACGATTGGTGCCGTAGTCGTCCCCTAAAAAGCCATTAAGTTGTAATCTAACTCCTAAAAAAGTACTAAGGCAGGCAATACCACCAGAACAAAGGGTGGGCAATGCATGACTTTTCGACCACATTTTTGTTTAGGGCACTTGAACCTAAATGATTTGTAGAGAATTAAAAGTACGTAATTTTATATGAGTACAAAAGACTACTTAAATAAATAAAAGCCATATATTTAAATCAAAATTAACCCAACACACATTCTCATATAAAATTGTATTATAATTGAAAATAAAAAATCAACAATGAACCTGTTTGGAGTTAGCTTAAAATCTCACTTTTTTTTTTTTTTCAAAGAAAAAGAAATCTGGTCCGTTCATGCTTATTAGATGGCTTTTCAATCAATTTTTTGGGTAAAAAATAACTTCTATTAGGACTAAGAAAAAACTAAAAAATGGGACTTATCAAAAATTTTTTAAGAAAAAATCGACTTTTTAGAAAACACTCCAACCAATTTGAAGAGCTTTTTTAACTCTAATTTTTTAATTTCACTTTTAAAACCTCTGTTTCGCATCTAAAAAAGTAAACTCCAATCGATAAAATCCATTGAAATTGAACATATCTATAAGCCAAGTTATTTAGGCTCAACTTGAATTTAGGCTTAGCTCATGTTTTAAACAAGTCGAATTCATATATATTTTTTTAAGTTTGTTTAAAAAAATGAGTTCAACAAATTCGAACTCAAATTTGCAAAACTTAGATTAATGCCCTTAAATATGAATGCTTTTCTAAAATAAACTATGCAATTGACAAAATTTTAGTATCACACTAAATAATAATTTTTAGTANTGCAAAACTTAGATTAATGCCCTTAAATATGAATGCTTTTCTAAAATAAACTATGCCATTGACAAAATTTTAGTATCACACTAAATAATAATTTTTAGTAAAAAAAAAGAAGAAGTAATAACGTAATAGAATTTTCCTCCTTCTGCTGTGATTGGATAATTTTTTCTTTATTAATGCAAAAGAGGATGCGTACGTAATATCCTAAAAAAAGTCGGTATGCTTTCATGATAAGAACATGATAGGTTGACCAGTCAAAGGAACATTANGTACGTAATATCCTAAAAAAAGTCGGTATGCTTTCATGATAAGAACATGATAGGTTGACCAGTCAAAAAAGCAGCTGATTTAAAGGCATAAAGAGACATTTAGTTTGAGTGGGACATGCATTGACTAATGATTTTCTCTATCTTTGACCACTAATAAAATAAAAGATCATCACCACCTCCTAAACAACCACACCCAGAAACATTTACTAATCGATATGAACATAAAATCATAAAAAAAAAGAAAAAAGAAAAAGGAAATTAACAAATAAATATCCAAAGAAGAAAGAACATGGCGAATTGAAATTCATGATAAAGAAGATTATGATGATGAAGAGGAGGACGAAGAAGATGAGTCGAACTTGTAGTGTTTATCGACGGCGACTGATACATCCCAAGTGCAACTGAGTCCCTTTGGAATTATCACCAGATCGCCGGCGCCGAACTCAGATATCTCCGAAGAGTTTTTTGGGTAGACTTTTACCTTTCCTCTGAGTAGATAACACGTTTCTTGGGCATCAAACTTTAGTTGGTACTTCCCCGGAGAGCATCCCCATCTGTTTCATCACAAAATATTTCGATCTTGGTCATATTATTGCTCACAACCCAACCATATGTGTGACTGTGTGTAAATATATATGAAGAGAGAGAGAGAGAGAGAGAGAGAGAGAGAGAAGGGGGGCTTACTTGGGCCAAGACTTGATACCCAATTCAGATAGTTGAGACTCTGATGGGTTATTTTGCACAATGATTTTTAGATTTGATGAAGAGTCTGGGTTGGACTCTGCAGCCATGGAAGAAGGTGGTTGGCAAAGAAATAGGAACTGTAGAAGATGATGATACAATCTCTCTCTCTGAGTGTATATATAGTTCAACTCATAGGCTCTTTTCTTATGGGCTTTGGTAGGAGGCGGAATGAATCTCTACAGGGACTAGAAAAGCAGGAGAGAGAGAGAGAGAGAGAGAGAGAGAACAACCCTGCATAAGCAAAGATTTTCTTTCGTCTGTACTGTTCCTTCTCCTCTTAATACCCGTTGGCCTATCACATACAGCCACGACAGTCAACAAAAATTATGGACATTCGGTATGTAGTACATTAACAAAAGTGCCCAAAAAAAAAAGTCAAATTTCATTTCCTGCCCTTTTGGTTAAAAATAAAATAAAATTGGTCAATGGTACAAATAAATTTGAGGACTTCATAATTTTTTTTTTAATTTTGATTAAAAAGTCAGATATGTCTAGACCAATTTATACGCATCTCAAATAATTTTTTTCTCGGTTCAATCAAAAAGTATTAGACCATCTACGGTCAATGTCTAGTGCTATTGTGGAACTAAGTGTATGTCGAATATTATTTTATTTTATTTTTTTAAAAAGAGATTAGCGACGACTTTAATAAGAGGANAAGAGATTAACGACGACTTTAATAAGAGAAAAATATCACCCTTAAATGCAAATGTGATGTTACATGAATGATTAAATAATTAATTTAAGATAATATTAATGTTGCACTAACTTGCCATCATAGTAGAAATGAAAATATTTTATTTTAAAGTTACAATGTAAAATAGCTTTGAANATCTCTCTCTCTGAGTGTATATATAGTTCAACTCATAGGCTCTTTTCTTATGGGCTTTGGTAGGAGGCGGAATGAATCTCTACAGGGACTAGAAAAGCAGGAGAGAGAGAGAGAGAGAGAGAGAGAGAACAACCCTGCATAAGCAAAGATTTTCTTTCGTCTGTACTGTTCCTTCTCCTCTTAATACCCGTTGGCCTATCACATACAGCCACGACAGTCAAAAAAAATTATTCGGTATGTAGTACATTAACAAAAGTGCCCCAAAAAAAAAGTCAAATTTCATTTCCTGCCCTTTTGGTTAAAAATAAAATAAAATTGGTCAATGGTACAAATAAATTTGAGGACTTCATAATTTTTTTTTTAATTTTGATTAAAAAGTCAGATATGTCTAGACCAATTTATACGCATCTCAAATAATTTTTTTCTCGGTTCGATCAAAAAGTATTAGACCATCTACGGTCAATGTCTAGTGCTATTGTGGAACTAAGTGTATGTCGAATATTATTTTATTTTATTTTTTTAAAAAGAGATTAGCGACGACTTTAATAAGAGGAAAATATCACCCTTAAATGCAAATGTGATGTTACATGAATGATTAAATAATTAATTTAAGATAATATTAATGTTGCACTAACTTGCCATAATAGTAGAAATGAAAATATTTTATTTTAAAGTTACAATGTAAAATAGCTTTGANGTATATATAGTTCAACTCATAGGCTCTTTTCTTATGGGCTTTGGTAGGAGGCGGAATGAATCTCTACAGGGACTAGAAAAGCAGGAGAGAGAGAGAGAGAGAGAGAGAGAGAACAACCCTGCATAAGCAAAGATTTTCTTTCGTCTGTACTGTTCCTTCTCCTCTTAATACCCGTTGGCCTATCACATACAGCCACGACAGTCAACAAAAATTATGGACATTCGGTATGTAGTACATTAACAAAAGTGCCCAANTTTCTTTCGTCTGTACTGTTCCTTCTCCTCTTAATACCCGTTGGCCTATCACATACAGCCACGACAGTCAAAAAAAATTATTCGGTATGTAGTACATTAACAAAAGTGCCCAAAAAAAAAAGTCAAATTTCATTTCCTGCCCTTTTGGTTAAAAATAAAATAAAATTGGTCAATGGTACAAATAAATTTGAGGACTTCATAATTTTTTTTTTAATTTTGATTAAAAAGTCAGATATGTCTAGACCAGTTTATACGCATCTCAAATAATTTTTTTCTCGGTTCGATCAAAAAGTATTAGACCATCTACGGTCAATGTCTAGTGCTATTGTGGAACCAAGTGTATGTCGAATATTATTTTATTTTATTTTTTTAAAAAGAGATTAACGACGACTTTAATAAGAGAANGGAACTAAGTGTATGTCGAATATTATTTTATTTTATTTTTTTAAAAAGAGATTAGCGACGACTTTAATAAGAGGAAAATATCACCCTTAAATGCAAATGTGATGTTACATGAATGATTAAATAATTAATTTAAGATAATATTAATGTTGCACTAACTTGCCATAATAGTAGAAATGAAAATATTTTATTTTAAAGTTACAATGTAAAATAGCTTTGAAAAAAAAAAGTATTCATCTAATTAACACGATTTAAATGCAATTAGACACACATTCATAATTTATATTACAATCAATAATTCAAATGTTATTAATATAATTTGGATTTAAAAACATATTGTGGGTGGTGCATTTGTCCAATGAATAAGAATTATGGCTGGCTATTATATTAAGAAGGTCTAGAGCGATATAAGTACGTTTATATTGTTAGCATTTGACTATGAGAAAACTGTAAATTTGAATATAGCATCCAAATTAGTATTTATATATTTATATTAGTAATTGATTTTGTTTCTAGTAAGAAGCAACTTAGTTGTAGTAGTAACCTCCCCTGAATATGCACGTGAGATTACAGTAAGCGTCCAAATTATAAATAAAATTTAATATTGTGGATAGGGTTCTCACGGTCAAAGGGTTACTGACAAGGGACACGTGGCAAACAATAGTTATCTGCCACGTCTGACCCTTTTGACTTGTGACTACGTATCTTTTTGTGGTCGGTCGGGCCGACCAAAGGTAGTAATTCTAGGACATTAACTTAAGGTTTTTAGTGTTTTATATATATGTATGTATATATATTTTTTTTAAATTTAAAATAATCGAATTTATCACTACAATATCAAATGGACTAAACATTCAGATAGGCTAGACATTCATTCAGCTCTTGCAAGAATACCTGATTCCTGTCACAAACGAATTTGAACCCTCAACTACCGAAAAACAATGGCACTTTCACCCTCTAGAAGCCAACTATGCTGCCACTCTCGTGGTCAGAAATATGGCACGTGTGAACTCATCACGTGCATGTGTCGGCTATCATCGAATGTGGGCCGATCCCAATAGATAGAGCTAGGAGTGGTGTCTAGCCCACATTCCCCATACATTCGGTCATTTCAAAAATTTGGATTGTAGTTGGGAAAAAAATCTGAACTCAAATTGGAATGAATAATCGATTCGAGTCTCAACTCCCTTACAAAAAACACGAAAGAAGAGTAAGGCAGTCCAGTCTCAATGTGGAAGTGTTATTGACGCCATTGTTTTCATCCCCAAAAACAGGGAAAAGAAAGACAAAATGGTGACACTATTGTTGGTTCATGGTATATTAATTGCCATGGAAATGAACGAAAGAGGGTGACTGCCATGGCTCTCCACCGCACACCCCTCGGTAGTCCGTCTTTTTAGCTGTTTTTGGCGAGCAATCCTAAAAAAATCAGCCCTAACGTCTTAGTTATCCACCTCGCTAAAATCTAGAAAGTCAAATTACTCGCCAAATCTTCTGTGAACCAGGTATTCATCTCCCCCTCCTCTTGCTCATTTGCTGCTGCCTTGATCCTTCCTGCTGATTCTTGCAAAGAAATTTAGTGCTTTCCTCTGATCTCCCTCTCCTTTTGCTCCTCTGTTTCTGCCTTGAATATGGATTGCTCGTTGCCTTCTGTTACTACTGCTGAACACCCCCCCCAAAAAAAAAAAAAAAATTCTAAAATCCCCCACCAAATTCTGAAACCCCCTCAAAATTTTAAAAACTCCCTTAGTTTTATGTATAATAGAATATTTATATTTAGACCCTATGAAATATTAATATAAGTATTTTAAAAAATCTTAAATTTAAAATTACTTGGTGCAGGATATGCAGTTTATTTGTTTTGTGTGATCTATTTGCGGTTTGTTTGTTTGTTTGTTTTTTACTGATAGAAGGGGTTTATTTTGGGGGGGTCTCGATATTTCAGAATTGTAGAAAGTATTGGTGAAGGTGTGACCGAAGTTCAGGCAGGGGACCATGTAATACCATGTTATCAGGCAGAATGCAGGGAATGCAAATTCTGTAAGTCAGGGAAGACAAATTTCTGTGGCAAAGTTAGGGACGCCACTGGAGCTGGGGTTATGCTGATTGATCGCAAAACTTGTTTTTCAATTAATGGGAAACCCATGTATCACTACATGGGAACTTCAACTTTTAGCCAGTACACTGTTGTCCATGATGTTAGTGTTGCAAAGATCAACCCAAAAGCTCCTTTGGAGAAAGGCTGCCTTCTCGGTTGTGGTGTTCCAACAGGTGAGCTACTCTTTTACATAGTGGTTAACGTTCTTTGTAACTGCTTTTAACTGATTTATTGGATATGTTTATGATCTCCTCACAAATGTGTGGAACCAAGTACATAGAAAACCCTGATTTTATTAAAAATTTATTATGTAAGCTCAAGGAGAAATGACTTCACATGGGTACATAACTACTTTGACCTATGGCTATTTGATGAGTTCCACCAGCAAGATGAAGAAAACACATTGTATTCCAATATAGACGCAGGAATCGTATGGATGAACACATTACTAAAAGTTCTAGAGGGACAAGAATGCAGACTAGATTCAAAATATTCAACTGTCTTCCAGAAGAAAACAAATGTGCCAATAATCATGATAGCAAATAAACTACCAAAAGCAATAATAGAAAACGGGCCCTTCAATATTTATTTTACTATTGCTTGCTAAGATTTGAATTTATGATAAAATGTCTTTTGCTCATATTTTCTGACTTTTTGTATGAGACTCAAGGTTGATTTATCTCAGCCTCAAGATGTAGAATGCTAAACTTAACCAGAGGTTTCCTTACTTCATGTCTATTTACTTTATTTTGTGGGGCTTTGTGGTTCATAACTGGGGAATTACATCGAATTGGTTGCACCATTAATTTTCTCTGCCATGAGGACTAGACATCATTCCATCTGATATACTACCTTAAAAACTGTTGATAATTGTCCATCTGCCACTATCTGCTTGCGTGGAAATTTCCACACAAATAGATGGAATAGCAGGCGCCTGGTAGCTTCAAGGAGATTGCGGTTGGGTCTGTCAGGTAGAAGTTCTAAAAGGGAATGACAATCATTAGACACGGGTTGCTATAATTGGCTATAGTTGGGCATGCCTAACGAGATCCTTGGGATTATAGTGCCTCTCTACAACTAGTGGCTGTAATCCGTAACTGCCTAGCTGGCATAACGATAAGATCGAGAGAAAGAGATTATGGGATACACATCTCCATCCTATTGTATCCTCCAATATGTGTAGGCAACATGTAGGATGTGCTACAAATACCCCTCATGTCTCATGACAGGAGGAAGGGTTTTTTTCCACAAGAANTTATGGGATACACATCTCCATCCTATTGTATCCTCCAATATGTGTAGGCAACATGTCGGATGTGCTACAAATACCCCTCATGTCTCATGACAGGAGGAAGGGTTTTTTTCCACAAGTACCAGGGGACCCCTGCTCCCACTGAATAGACTCTCTCTCTCCATCCCTCTCTACATCCCCCTTCCACTTCTACTTGAGTCTTTCCGATGTGGCTCCAAACCAAAGTCAGCATCAACAAGAACATGAAAATTGGAGAATTAAGTTAGACTCTAGGATGCATGTAAAATATGATATACTGAAAAATATTATGCTTTCTTGTAATGCTCTTGATTTTCTGATNATTCTAAAATCCCCCACCAAATTCTGAAACCCCCTCAAAATTTTAAAAACTCCCTTAGTTTTATGTATAATAGAATATTTATATTTAGACCCTATGAAATATTAATATAAGTATTTTAAAAAATCTTAAATTTAAAATTACTTGGTGCAGGATATGCAGTTTATTTGTTTTGTGTGATCTATTTGCGGTTTGTTTGTTTGTTTGTTTTTTACTGATAGAAGGGGTTTATTTTGGGGGGTTCTCGATATTTCAGAATTGTAGAAAGTATTGGTGAAGGTGTGACCGAAGTTCAGGCAGGGGACCATGTAATACCATGTTATCAGGCAGAATGCAGGGAATGCAAATTCTGTAAGTCAGGGAAGACAAATTTCTGTGGCAAAGTTAGGGACGCCACTGGAGCTGGGGTTATGCTGATTGATCGCAAAACTTGTTTTTCAATTAATGGGAAACCCATGTATCACTACATGGGAACTTCAACTTTTAGCCAGTACACTGTTGTCCATGATGTTAGTGTTGCAAAGATCAACCCAAAAGCTCCTTTGGAGAAAGGCTGCCTTCTCGGTTGTGGTGTTCCAACAGGTGAGCTACTCTTTTACATAGTGGTTAACGTTCTTTGTAACTGCTTTTAACTGATTTATTGGATATGTTTATGATCTCCTCACAAATGTGTGGAACCAAGTACATAGAAAACCCTGATTTTATTAAAAATTTATTATGTAAGCTCAAGGAGAAATGACTTCACATGGGTACATAACTACTTTGACCTATGGCTATTTGATGAGTTCCACCAGCAAGATGAAGAAAACACATTGTATTCCAATATAGACGCAGGAATCGTATGGATGAACACATTACTAAAAGTTCTAGAGGGACAAGAATGCAGACTAGATTCAAAATATTCAACTGTCTTCCAGAAGAAAACAAATGTGCCAATAATCATGATAGCAAATAAACTACCAAAAGCAATAATAGAAAACGGGCCCTTCAATATTTATTTTACTATTGCTTGCTAAGATTTGAATTTATGATAAAATGTCTTTTGCTCATATTTTCTGACTTTTTGTATGAGACTCAAGGTTGATTTATCTCAGCCTCAAGATGTAGAATGCTAAACTTAACCAGAGGTTTCCTTACTTCATGTCTATTTACTTTATTTTGTGGGGCTTTGTGGTTCATAACTGGGGAATTACATCGAATTGGTTGCACCATTAATTTTCTCTGCCATGAGGACTAGACATCATTCCATCTGATATACTACCTTAAAAACTGTTGATAATTGTCCATCTGCCACTATCTGCTTGCGTGGAAATTTCCACACAAATAGATGGAATAGCAGGCGCCTGGTAGCTTCAAGGAGATTGCGGTTGGGTCTGTCAGGTAGAAGTTCTAAAAGGGAATGACAATCATTAGACACGGGTTGCTATAATTGGCTATAGTTGGGCATGCCTAACGAGATCCTTGGGATTATAGTGCCTCTCTACAACTAGTGGCTGTAATCCGTAACTGCCTAGCTGGCATAACGATAAGATCGAGAGAAAGAGATTATGGGATACACATCTCCATCCTATTGTATCCTCCAATATGTGTAGGCAACATGTAGGATGTGCTACAAATACCCCTCATGTCTCATGACAGGAGGAAGGGTTTTTTTCCACAAGAACCAGGGGACCCCTGCTCCCACTGAATAGACTCTCTCTCTCCATCCCTCTCTACATCCCCCTTCCACTTCTACTTGAGTCTTTCCGATGTGGCTCCAAACCAAAGTTAGCATCAACAAGAACATGAAAATTGGAGAATTAAGTTAGACTCTAGGATGCATGTAAAATATGATATACTGAAAAATATTATGCTTTCTTGTAATGCTCTTGATTTTCTGATACATTTATGGTCTCTAGTAAATTGCATTTAGTCGTTCCTACTGACACGTTGTTGGTAGTCAAATGCCCAAATTCAACTTATTCAAGTAACTTTGTTGCGTTTGTTTAAAACTCCCTGTAGGAAGGTTTTAGGTCCTATATAACATTTTTATCCTAGATAATGTAAGTGAAAATTATGAAAAACTTGTGTTTCTTATTGTGAAGCATGCGCACGGACATAAAACAGACACCAAAGTTTGGAATCCTTTTAGTCAGTTCTAGAGATGTGTTTAACTTTCTTTTTTTTTTTCTGCGGAGAAATGAATATTTGCTGATTTATTATGTCAATTTTGTTTTTGTTTTGTTTTTTTTTTTCTTGCCTTGCTTTGCAGACATCTTTCAAATACAGTCACTTCTTTACTTGTATGTATTCGACATATTACATACCCTGTGTTTGCTGTCTTCTAGGTCTTGAAGCAGCTTGGAACACCGCAAAAGTGGAATCTGGTTCCAGCGTTTGTATTTTTGGTCTTGGAACTGTTGGCCTAGCAGTAAGTTTCTGATATGACCATCTAGTCTTTTTACTGTGCCGTCTTCTGTAGCTTATGATTGTGGGATTACTTGATAGGTGGCAGAGGGTGCAAAAGCAGCTGGTGCTTCTTGAATAATTGGTATCGATATTAAAAGGAAAAAGTTTGATATGGGTACAGCTTCACCTATTCTATCTCCAAATGGTTTTTGATGGCATACCTGTATGGACTGATCAATTATAGTTCCTCAATTTGTTGTTGAAGTATTATATTTGTTATTCTATCCTAAAATCACTGCATCTTGTGCATCAGCATCTGATTATTGTTGAGGCTTTGAACTAGAGTCTTCCTAATGATAGATCCGGTTACTTCACAATGTTTGAGCTCTTTACCGTGTACTACTTTAGTGTCAACATGTACTGTGGTACAATTAAACTTCAAGCCTCATGGAGTTTTAATTCATTATGTCTTTGTTAAGGTGGATGGTGAAATAAGAACACATGCATTCGCTCCTCAATACTATTGTTGGAGTCTGAAACCGAGTGATTTTGTTGCCTTCGTTTCTTTTCTTGGTCTGTTTGATTGATTATCGTAAACTTACTGTGTTGCAAGTTTTTGATTGTTACTACCATACAAGTTGTTGACTGAACCAGAACCCATCTGTCATGCATTTGTTCAACAGATGCCAGACTATTTATGAACAGACATCAATACTAAGCCACCCTTGACATTACAAGAGATTTTAGTCTAGCTACTTGCATTATATTTATGTCCGAGATCTAAATTGGGTGTTCTAGGTACCAATTTACCAATTCCCAGGGACGAAAAAAGAGTTCATTCATTGAATGATGTTTTTAGGTTAGACTATTTATCTATTCATGTAGCTAGGATCAAAGGAAACCTCATGCTATGATGGATTTTTACTGGCAAATTGTAATCTGCGGCAAAGAATTTTGGGTTCACTGAATTTGTCAATCCAAAAGACCATGAGAAACCAATCCAGCAGGTTATTGTTGATCTTACAGGCGGTGGTGTTGACCATAGTTTTGAGTGTGTTGGAAATGTGTCCCTAATGAGAGCTGCTTTGGAGTGCTGTATTAAGGTCATTTGTGCCTCAACTGGTGTCTCAAATTGTGGATACTATTGATGTGATCAGGCATAACACATCGGATTTTTCGGGAAAAAAATTTGCAGGGCTGGGGAACATCAGTCATTGTGAGTGTTGCGGCAGCTGGTGAAGAGGTATCCACTCGCCCCTATATGTAGGTAACCGGTCGTGTTTGGAAAGGAACAGCCTTTGGTGGTTTCAAGAGCCGTTCACAAGTGCCTTGGCTTGTGGAGAAGTATATGAGGAAGGTAAGCACACTAGATATCAGTTATCATGTTCAGCAGATAGATTTTGTTTATTACTGAAGCCCCTTTGCTCATCTGTCAAGAAATCAAGATTGATGAATATATCACCCACAGTGTATCTCTTATGGAGATTAACAAGGCTTTTGATCTCCTGCATGAAGGAAGTTGCCTACGTTGTGTGCTTAGTATGCATGTCCGAGGTTTGCAGTTCAGTGCTATCTTAGTACTTTGTCATGGACATATATATATAGGATACAGGCATTTTCTTTCCTCGTCTTTCGTGAGACGGGAAATTTTTTTGTATAGTTTACTCTTTGGAAGCAGACTTGGGGATGGTTTATGTTACATAGGCTGGTTTATCATCTTTGAAAAGGTTTTTGAATTGTCTGAGGGCTTGATTTGTAGCTGGGCTTGAGTTGCATCTGATACAGGTTAAGAATTTGTTTACATAACAATAAGAGTCCAAAAGACTGGTTAGGACCGTTCTTGGTTATAAAAAAATTNTTGTAGCTGGGCTTGAGTTGCATCTGATACAGGTTAAGAATTTGTTTACATAACAAAAAGAGTCCAAAAGACTGGTTAGGACCGTTCTTGGTTATAAAAAAACTGTTAAACAACTAATTAAAAACATAAGAAATTCAATTCTAAAACTAGTTTCCTTCAGCAGCAGAAAAAGAACTACAAAATAGACTACATCACTATTTCCAAATCGGCAGGACTATATGTTTAGTGACATGGTCACTAGAGACGCTAAAGTGGATCATATATATCTTTTTTTGGTTCAATGGTCAAGAGTATTCGGACTAGCTTATATGTATTTCTACTATTATCATCTCCGATCCGGTGAAAGATAAATCATTAATGCCGGAACTCATGAGGGATAAATCCTTTTCCAAAAAGTTGTCAAAATTCGAACTCAAAACGTCTGCATTTCTAAGTCCTTATTACCATTTGAGCTATCTTGGAATTAGTGAATCATTTATTTTATTTGGTGCCCTNTAGCTTATATGTATTTCTACTATTATCATCTCCGATCCGGTGAAAGATAAATCATTCATGCCGGAACTCATGAGGGATAAATCCTTATCCAAAAAGTTGTCAAAATTCGAACTCAAGACGTCTGCATTTCTAAGTCCTTATTACCATTTGAGCTATCTTGGAATTAGTGAATCATTTATTTTATTTGGTGCCTTACTTATTTCTAAATCAATCTATGTACAGGGTGGATTTCATTCATCCAGAAGATCTAGACAGCCAGTGAATAGGGTGAGGAAGCCGTGCCTGNTACTTATTTCTAAATCAATCTATGTACAGGGTGGATTTCATTCATCCAGAAGATCTAGACAGCCAGTGAATAGGGTGAGGAAGCCGTGCCTGTCGGCTCCACCTTGGTCATCATGAACCCATTCCTTTGGCTCTCATCATCACCATGGTAGGCATATCCACCATGGCTGGTCATGTCCATTCCTGCTATCTCATCCTCTTGTGATATCCTCAGAAGCTTGAGCTTATGCAGAACCCAAAATAAAGTCCCCATAGTGATACTCACCCAAGTGGCGATCACCAGAATCTGCACCACATGTGCCAACAAGAGGTTTTTTCCACCACCCATGAGCAACCCATACGACCTTCCTGGTCTCCCGGGGTAAATCTCATTGACATACACTTTGTTGGCGAACAAGGCGGTGAAGATGATCCCCCAAGCTCCACAACCACCATGAAGCTGTGCCGCCTCCAATGGATCATCGTATTTGAATCTCTCCGCCAGCTTGTTGCATCCAATGAGAACCCAAGCAGCGACAAATCCACAAACAATTGCCGCCCATGGATCTACGACGGAGCACCCAGAAGTGATCGCCGCAAACCCACCGAGCAATCCATTGCAAACATCTGTGAGATTCCAATTGCCGATAAACAGCCGTTTTCCGAACAGGGTGGTCAGCGCCGCCGTGCATCCAGCCAGAGTCGTCGTGACAGCAGTCCTTCCAACTGCGCTCCATTGGCCATAAAATGAACCACTCTCTCCATAAGCTTTCAAGATGTTGAGAAATGAACCAGGATTGAAACCATACCAACCAAACCACAACAGGAACGTCCCCAAAACTACCAATGTCCCACTATGGCCACGGAGAGCCACCGGTTTGCCGGAAAGATCGAACCGACCAATACGGGGGCCTTCAATGAGAGCACCCCATAATCCAGCAATGCCTCCAACCATATGAACAACTCCAGACCCTGCAAAATCGATAACCCCAGATCCAAACAAGAGGTTATCAGTTCTTGCAGCACTGGCCCACCCATCACCGGACCAAAACCAATGAGACACAACTGGATACACAAAACCAGTCAAGAACGATGAGTAAACCAAATACGCCATGAACTGTGTTCTCTCTGCGATTGATCCACTGGTAATCCCAGCAGCTGCAATGGCGAAACACCATTGATAGAGAAAGTAACTGTAGTCGAAAGCCGAGGAAGGAATGTGTTTCAAGCCAAAGAAGTGTTTTCCAATGAACCCATTTGATGGGGTTCCAAAAGCGACAGCAAATCCGAAGAGGTAGTAGAAGAGGCCGCCAGCGGCGGCGTCAATTACGTTGGTAAGCATGATGTTCATGGTGTTCTTGGCGCGGACTGAACCGGCACATAGCATTGCGAAGCCAAGCTGCATGATAAAGACGAGGTAGGAAGAGAAGAGAAGGTAGGTGGTGTCAACGGCAAAGCCCGTGTCAATGAATTTGTCTGATGCGTCATTGAATCGGTTGCAGATGAACTCAGCCGCGGCGGTGGCATTGGCGGCTCCACCCAGAAGTGGGCTTAGATCAGTAGCTAAGCAACTGAGAGCCGCCATAAAAAACTCACGCACACAGAGAGAGGGAATGTGGGTGTTGACGTGAGGAGTGAGGGAATCAGTGAACCCTAGGTTATGGAATTTGTTTATATAAAGACTGGATCTGACAGATTCCTGAGTTGAAAGGGTTACTAGAAACCGAGATTCTTGGGATGCAGAGGATCTGAATCCCAAGCTTTTCTCCTGAGTTTGAAAATTTTCAAAATCAAAGCTGGCCTAAAACATAAGGGGCTTTAGGCCCAACAAAAAAGGCCTAAATTAACCTCATAAATTTAAGGACAAATGGCACTTTGGCCCCCGAAAGATTAAAAAATTTTCAATTTTCCCCACAAAAGATCTATTGTTTCAAATTCCACCCTCAAAATTATTATTTGATGACAATGTAACCCCGGCCCTGACGGACGAATTTTCTGTTAACCCAAGTTATACACGTAATAACCAGAAGGGTCTTCCTATAAAAACACTACAGACCCAACACCCTTTTAATTTTGGCGTCATATCAGATGACCTAATTTTGCTCTGATTTATCCATTCCATACTAGCTACGCTGAAGGAGGAAGGAAGCAGGAGAAGTGAAGGAAAAGAAAAGAGGAGAAAGAATGAAAGGCTTCTGTTATTGTAGAATTACTTATACTAACAAAGGAATATTTATTGTTCTTGCCTGCTTTCTTATTGTCATAGTCGTCATATCTTTTTAGTTTCAGTTATTTTCCAAAATGTGCTTGTCCGCCTTCTCTAGTCTCTAAAACTTACTTCCTAAACCTCTAGAGATGGGGATGACAAGCAACAAAAAATTTTCAACTACAAATTAGGAACGATTGGTTTCTTCAAACTCCCTTTTTGGTCGAGACTAGATGAAAAGAACGGTCGGGCAACTGCTTCTGAAGGGCTACACATGAATACAGAAGGTATCAAGCACCATTTGAGCTCTTCTCAACTTTGATGCAATTCAAATCTTGACATCATATATCGTAAATTTTATCTTTGCCCTTTAGCCAGAGAAAAAACAAACAANGGTATCAAGCACCATTTGAGCTCTTCTCAACTTTGATGCAATTCAAATCTTGACACCATATATCGTAAATTTTATCTTTGCCCTTTAGCCAGAGAAAAAACAAACAAACAAACTACCATTCGTTTTATTAACTGAATCGTAGTTAAAATCGGCACAATCTTTTACTAAAAAGCTTAAGCCAAATACAAATATNCTTTGCCCTTTAGCCAGAGAAAAAACAAACAAACAAACTACCATACGTTTTATTAACTGAATCGTAGTTAAAATCGGCACAATCTTTTACTAAAAAGCTTAAGCCAAATACAAATTTTTTGTATCACCGAGGTTATAGTCTAGAGGTTGAAAGTCTTGCCCTCCTCCGGTGGTCATAAGTTCAAACCAATAGTAATCCTTGTGACACATAGACTATTGAAGGGACTGAATGTCCAACTTGCCCAAGGTGATGCTTTTAGTGACGGGCTCGATCATCCCAAATTAGTAATTATGACTTAAACTGAATATTCTACAACAAGTGAAAATCTCAAGGTAACGTCTAGTGGGGGTTGCTATGCCTAATCGCCCCTAACCACCCTTTTTCCCCCAAAAAAATAAAAAACACAAATATTTTGTACATATATCTATATCTATACTACTTATAATCTATCTATACTACTTATAAATGTCAGGATGTGTAGAAAACTTTTGATTTCCTATTTTATCTCTAATTATTATTTTAAAATCAATTATACCCACATATTTTTCTCTGTTTCACACCTACCAGATTTCCAAAAAAAAGAAGACTCCTTTAAACACTGTCAATTAAAGATGAGTTCTTAGAGTTTTGTAACTCCCAAACCATTGAAACACTATCAATTAAAGAAGAGTTCTTAGAGTTTTGTAACTCCCAAACCATCGAAACACTATCAATTTTTCCTTGGATTTTCTATCTTCTCTCTGTATCTAAGCTCTCTCCTCCATCGCACACAGTGGCAGCACTTTCCCAGGTAAGCCTCTCCCTGCCTCTGAATTTCTCTAATCTTTCACACTCTGCCCACACCACCACCATAAACACACACAATCACCTCTTTGCTTGAGTAATCCACCCACCCGCCCATAGCCTTTGTTTCTTCTTGTATAACAATTTTTTAAATAATGTTTNCACCTCTTTGCTTGAGTAATCCACCCCACCCGCCCATAGCCTCTGTTTTCTTTTGTATAACAATTTTTCAAATAATGTTTTAATTAAAAATTTTGCCCTATTGAATTTTGGGTTGTGTTTCATTCCCAAAAAAATTTAATTAACAACAATTTATCTAAATTAAAATACAATTTCAAAGAACTGTTTTGGGTTGTGTTTCATTCCCAAAAAAATCATTAATACCCAAAAAAAGTTTAATTAACAACAATTTATCTAAATTAAAATTCAATTTCAAGATATAAATCATTGTACCCATTGATTTAAATCATCAATAGAAAATGTAAAGCAGCCTTCTTTATTTGAAAATAACAATTAGACAAAAAAAAAAAAAACCTGACTCATTTTGATATATTTCTCCATTGCGGCAAGTGATACCTTTCAATCCTCTGTAGAGTTTTTCGTACATTTTAATTAATTGAATACATCAATATATTCAATTTTTCTTTCTTATTAGTAGTGGTTTTTATTTGTTTGTAAAATTTGAATGCATGTATTTAATTTACGTCTATTCAATATTGATGATTTATTTATAGATTCTAGATTGAGAGANTAATTAATTGAATACATCAATATATTCAATTTTTCTTTCTTATTAGTAGTGGTTTTTATTTGTTTGTAAAATTTGAATGCATGTGTTTAATTTACGTCTATTCAATATTGATGATTTATTTATAGATTCTAGATTGAGAGATCCTAAAAGATTTTCAAGTTAGCTTGAAAAAAAGAACTAGAAAAGTTTGTCCACTTAATTTCAGGGCGAAAGTCAAGAGGTAGTGTATCAATTACTATTATTTTTATTATTATATCATATATTTGTTTTGAAGTATTTTGGATACTTTGTGTGTGTTGTTTATATTTCTTTGATAAACAAAAAAGGCTCTCTCTTTTAGTATCTTTCTTTTCGAAATCTGTGCTATGCACGGCATACACAATCTGTGGCATATCAAAGCAAAGGATTTTATCTTGGTCGTTGGTCATGCCCCATGTTTCCCTTTTGGTCTAATGTCATTATAAGCACTTAGAAAGTTGATGAGATGATCACAATCATCCTTTTGCCGGTAGCTCTCTCACTGTCTTTCTGAAGAATATGACGGTTTTGATGTACTTATCTCTGGTTAATCAGTTTCTTTGTTTGAACCAATACCCTGTAAACCAGATTTTTACTGATATGTTTTAATTTATTAATTCTTATGATTACGTTAATTTCTATGTTATGTGCCACTTAATTTTTCTTAATTTAATGTCAAGCAATTTTCTAAGAGATTGGTGTGGCAAGTCAAATATTCGGCATAATTGAAATTAGTTTATTAATTATCATGTTTTAGTTTATTAAATTGGTATCGAAGGTCGAGTAATCGGCATAATTGAGGTTAGTTTATTAATTCATATACTTTAGTTTATTAATTTCTATGTTTACATTAAAATTTTGTATGTTGGAGTTTCTTTATTTTATTACAAATTTGCTAAATGATTTGTAACTGTCACATTCTTCTAATTTTGTTCTATATATTCTCAAATTGACAAAAAAGTCTGATAGCAATCTTAGGCCCACATGAAAACCAATTGAATACCAAGAAATACATGGAAGAACTATAAAAAAAAAAATTAAAAAATAGTTAAACATAGGTACGACACCCAAAAAAAAAACGTTAATGTACTATGTACCAACTTAATATAAAGAATTGGTATTTTGAGTACATGCATGAACTTACACACAAACAACCCCAATCCTGTTTGGTAAATTTTATAAAAGAGCAATTGGAATTGATTTAAACTTTAATACCCTGTAATCAAATTTAATTTTTAATTACTCATATTCTATTAAAGGATTATAAATTAAAATTGTATGTTACAAAAATGTGTTATTTTATCTATAAGAATTAGAAAAAAGATTAAAAAAATAGTTCAAATTAGGTATCACAGTTCATTAACCACCTCTTTAGCAACCAAAAAATGGATAGTCTACCATTATTAAAAAAAAATATCATCTATACTTCATATTTAAGGATCTTATCATATCAATGTGAAAAAGTATGTTTGGGTTTAGGTTTCTGGATCAACTATGTCAATTTGTTTAAAAATAACAAACTCTTTTTTTTATATCAAATTATATGTCTCTTCTTGTGTACCATAAGAATGTACTAAAAATAGACAAAACAACTTTAAAACATAGCAACCTTTCGAAATAAACTTTAAAACATAGCAAAAAATAAAATAGCTTAAAAACATAAAACAATGGATCTAAATAAAATACAACACGACACCTTTTTTTAATAAATTTGAATCACATACATTATTACCATTAGTTACCAGTATAAAAACAAAATTTCCAATCCAAATGCCTCTATAAATTTTAGATATGTCTAACTGCACACAGTTGTTTTAGTGTTGTATTGTATGCATTTTATTTTTATGTATATCATAGTTGTTTATTTTCCACTTGTACTGGACAATTTTTTTTTTGGTAATAGAGAGATGTTTTTAATGCTATTAAGTGGTTAATAGTAATAATTTTCATACACAAAAATTAATAAAAGATATTAAGTATATATGTATCTAAATAAAATATCATTTGAAATTTATCAAACTTAATTTTTCATTACTCATATTCTATTATCGGATTATAAAAACTCGTATATATTTTCAAAATTCATTATTTTAAGTGTAAGAAAAAAGATTTTTAAAAAAAAGGTTAAAGTTCTATTATTTTAGAATTTCGTGATTGAGAGTATTTTTTTCAAATGTAATAATAATTTTTGTACACAAAAATTAATAAAAGTTATTAAGTATATATGTATCTAAATGAAATATCATTTCAAATTTGTCAAATTTTATTTTTCATTGCTCATATTCTATTATATTCCCAAAATTTACACACACATTATAAAGCATATTAAATTAAAATTCTAAAAAATTCAAGTTACTCAAAAATAAATTACAATCTATGTTCACATGAAATCATAATACAATTTAGAAAGTTTGTTGTGATTGAAGAATTATACTAATGTAACATAAATTGATTAAAAAACTTCATATACGATTGTTTAATTAAAAAAACTTCAGTGGTCATCTTAATAAGAGAAAGCAATCAGAGTTATTAAATGGAGAAGGGTATCTACCCCTGCAGTCAATCCATAGAAAATTGAAATAAAATTTAAGAAATTATTTTCTATTGTGTGTATTATTTTTTCCATTCATAAATTTTAGTTTAGTAATATCATAATATTACTACAAGTTGCAGTAAAAAAGTATACTCGATAGAAGGAGATAAAGATATTGCAAAAATGACAACACGACGAGCAAGCAAGAGTTATTCTCGATTAACTCAGGAATAAAGAGAATTGTGCATCGAAAGAGTGAGAGACAGAAGAAGGATATCTAATAATCAGAATAGAAGTACAAGGCAAAGGATTGATTGGTTACAAATTGGCCACATAAACTCCAATGAATCTGAAGGTTAGTTAAATAAAATATATTGAATGAAAACCATTAAGTTTTCATTACTTTACTAATCGATCATCATATATTCTTTCATAGGGAAAACAATATCTGAACCAATATGTTGTGCATTACATCAGTTAGAAAAAGTCATGTTTTGTGTCCACTGTGACGCAAAGAAGCTCCAATATGAACCCCTAACATTATGCTGTTATAATGGTCAAATACAACTAGCAATTGTTGAAGTTCCAGAAGAGCTGCACAATTTGTTTACAACCAATTTTGATGAGGCGATTGAATTTCGTAGGCACATTCGAGCTTATAATAACATTTTTTCATTTACATCTTTTGGAGTTAATATTGACAAGGAACTTGAAACGGCTAGACAAGGAGTTTATACATTTCATGTCCAAGGACAGATTTATCATGACCTTCCAGCCTTGATGCCAGAACAAAACAATCCGTTTTACTTTCAGTTATATTTCTTTGATACTGAAAACGAAGTGCAAAATAGAATAAGGTTATTACAAGATATCAACCTAGATGAAGAAGTTATAAATAAATTGCTGAAAGTCCTTGAAAGGAATCCTTATGCTCAATTCTTACGTAGATTAAAAGATTTTTCATCTTTGGATAATTTTAAAATTCATATTACAAAGGATATTAAACTAGATCAACGAGTTTACAATTCCCCCTCATCAGACCAAGTTACGGGTATATGGANATTTTTCATCTTTGGATAATTTTAAAATTCATATTACAAAGGATATTAAACTAGATCAACGAGTTTACAATTCCCCCTCATCAGACCAAGTTACGGGTATATGGATTGAAGGAAATAATCCTAATGCTCCTCTAGAAAGAGATATCATCGTACTTGCACACTCTGGCCGCAAACATAGAGTTAAACATTATTTTGAGTGTTANAAGGAAATAATCCTAATGCTCCTCTAGAAAGAGATATCATCGTACTTGCACACTCTGGCCGCAAACATAGAGTTAAACATTATTTTGGGTGTTATGATCCATTACAATATCGTCTATTGATTCCCAAAGGAGAGGTTGGATGGCATCAGAATATCAAAAAGAAAAATGATTCTCGCAATGGTGCTTCTAACAGAGATACAACCAGTTCAATAAGCGCTATGCTCACATCCGTAGAAAATATCTTTCAATGNGAAATAATCCTAATGCTCCTCTAGAAAGAGATATCATCGTACTTGCACACTCTGGCCGCAAACATAGAGTTAAACATTATTTTGAGTGTTATGATCCATTACAATATCGTCTATTGATTCCCAAAGGAGAGGTTGGATGGCATCAAAATATCAAAAAGAAAAATGATTCTCGCAATGGTGCTTCTAACAGAGATACAACCAGTTTAACAAGCGCTATGCTCACATCCGTAGAAAATATCTTTCATCGAGAACAAGAAGGTAATACTAAATACAAATATCTCAAAAACATATATTGAATCTT